TGGCCGGGGATTGAACTCGTGCTGCAGAGGCTGCTTCATAGTACTGTGCTTAACCTGTTGCACCACCAGAAATCTTTTTCTTTTTTAATGTGGACATCAACCTGCTGCAGCACCTTTTTTGGAAAAGGCTGCAGTTGGGTGTGTTTTAGTGTCCTCCGAGGCACTGAGGTTCTCTAGCCTGTTCCATGGATCTGTGTCTGGGCGTTGGCCAGTACTTGTACCGCACCATCCGTACCACGAGGTGGCCACATGTGCTCTGGTCCTGGTTTGCTGAGGTTTTTAATCACAGATGGGTGTTAAATTTTGTCCAAAGCTCTTTCTGCCACAATTGATGGATCATATGACTTTTCTTTAGCCTCTTGATAGGTTGAATTACCTTGATTTTCCATGTGATTGCTTGACTCGTCACCTAGAAGCTCTCATGGTGTGGTTTTCACCTAAAAGATATGTGTGCATGTTTCTCATATATTCCTGGAGTAAATTTGCTAATAATTGTTGAAGATTTTTTTGGATTGAAGTTCATGAGAGATGCTGGTCTGGGTTTTGCTTTTTTTCTCCATAATTTCAAGAATCAAGTTAATACTTAGTGGGGGAAGTATTCCTTATATTTTGCTTTCTGGGGGGAATTGTGTAAAATTAGTAATTAATTCTCGTTTAACTGTTTGATAAAATTGTCCAGAGAGGCCATCTGGTACTAGAGAGATTTCTTTTTGCAGAATTTTTGAATTATAAATTCAATTTCTTTAATGGTTATAGGGCTATTCATGTTATCTATTTCATCTTAGCTAAGTTTTGGTACTTTGTGATTTGCAAGCAATTGGTCCAGCTCTTCTGAGTTTTCAAATGTATGAGCATCAAGGGGTTTGGTTAATATTTTCTTGATATTCTTCTAATACCTCCAGGATCTATTGTAATATTCCCCCATTTCATTTCTGACATTAGTAACTTCTATCTTTTCTCTTTTATCTATGTTAGTTTTGCTAGAGGTTTGCCAATTCTATTGCTATTTTTCAAAGGACCAGACTTTTGTTGTGATAATTCTCTTTGTTTTCAGTTTTTATTCCCGCTCTAATCTTCACCACTTCTTCCTTCCGTGTGCTTTAGGTTTATTTTGCTTTTCTCTCATTTCTTGAGCTGGAGCATAGCTCGCTGGCCTGAGGTCCCCCTGGGTTCAAACATGGGCGCCCAGTACCACCCCTTTCTGCCCCATCCCAGGTGGACCCTCTGGGACTCTGTGTGGTTTCATTTCACTCAGTTCTGTGTTGTCGTTTCCATTGAGACGCCCTCTTTTGATAAGTGTGCTGTTTAATTTCCACATTTCATGATTTTCCTGTTGTCCTCTCCTTGAGTTCTGGCTCCTGTGTCCTCTGAGGTACCCTAACCTTTTGTTTTTTTGACCTCTTCTTTACTCTCAGCCAGCACAAGAATCTCTGTGCTTGGACTCTAGCGACAGCCACTCCTCAGGAAGCTGCAGGGATGTGATGACGTGGTCACAGCACCACCATGTCATTAAACAACATTCACATAGCACTCAGTGTCTTAGGAGACCAGCATTTATACTATCTGATTGCTTAATCATTTTATTATATTACTTGTGTTGTTTCTTTGAATCAGGATTTGGGGTTTGGGGTTTCTTTGAATCAGGTTTGGGGTTTCCTACCTTGAGGTGGGTTTGATCTCTGTCTTCCTTGATTGTTTCCTCATTTCTGAAATTTTCTTCAGTGCCCTCAGGAAAAGGCAGTCTTGTACATACCAGGAGTTTGTTCTCACTTGACACCTTGTCTGCAAGCCACCCCCTGCAGTTGGGGGTCACGGAAGGGGAAACCGCCTCAAGGAGAGGCATGTCTTATCTCTTCTCCTTGGGCCCTTCCTTGGCTAGAGTGGCTCCCTGCTTAGGGCACTGCTGCTGAAGGAGCATCACTTCATGCCGTTCTGCTGTTTGAGACCCTGAGAAGTTTGAGGGCTACTAAGACTGCAGTAATAAACCCCTTTGGAGCCTATGTGAGCCCAGCGGCTATCTCAAGCAGTGCTTTTCAGACTGACTGCAGAGGCAGAACTGGGAGAGGAGCCAACCTGACCCTGAAATCAGTGCTGCTCCCCATATGTGATACCCCAGTGCCCCTCACATGTCCATGCTCCCCCACTGCTGCTACATGGACACGACTGTGATGGCCAACTTTGGCTTTGCTGCTCTGCTGTCTCAGGTGGGAGGAAGCTGAGGTGAGCTGGGCTGGCCTCTATGGCAGCAGAGGTCTTCATTGTGGCTGCAAGTCTCACTTCCCACAGGGCGCCTGCAGGCCACACTGCTGCCTGTCACTCCCAGATGTCGGGCGGGAGCAGAGACAGACAGCGCAGTCAGTCCCGTAAATATTTCCAGCCACAGTCAACATGTCTTACTAGGCAATTTGCTTTTTAAAAAATTGTGGTCTAATTTTAAGTGAACAGCCCCTAATTAGAGTGATTTACAAGGTACCTAGGGACTGGGTGGCATTTGAACATGGCAGAGGACTGAGCAGAGATGGATGGTGCGGCATAATCCAGTGGCACATTCTGATAACACAGCTGCTGGGCTGAGTCTGCGCAGAGATGCCCCTTGACACACACCCCAGCAGACAATGGGAAGTGTGGCCAAGAGGAGGGAGCAGGTACCCTGGGGGAGGGACAGCAGGGCTCCTCAAGCTGGGCAGCAGAAGCTGGCATGTGCAGACACTTGGACTCACCTTGATTTGGGTGAGAAAGTCACCCTGGTCCCCTCACATGCACACTGCTCCCACCCAGCCCCCCCAGCCCCTGTGTGTCTTTGTGGTCTTAGTTCCCAGAACTGCACAGCATGGAGCAAGCACCAAGTAGGCCCCTTATGAGTGCTGGGTGGTGGGCTGAGGGAGCCAAAGATGGACTTTGGGTCAGTTGGAGTTCACGGAGAGTAAGACTGATTCACATCAACAATGGTTAAGGCCCTACAGCCTTCAGGCATCAGGGAACCACTGTGTTTAAGTGAGAACTGGCTGAAGACTACCCTTAGGTGAGCAGAGGAGACCTGGCCAGGAGGACCTGGGCTCCATGCAGTCTGGAAGGAGGAAGACGGGGCCCAGGCTAGCCCAGATCCGCTGAGCCAAGAAAATAAGCCTTGGATCTGCTGTGCTGCCACCCCCAGCTAGTGCTGGACCCCACTATCTACTTCACCCCCCTTCCCACAGCTGTAGAAGAATCAGCCCCTCTGACATTTAAGGGGGCGGGGGGAGGAATCAGAATCAAGAACAGAGGCAGAAATGAAAGAATTTTCTTGGTAAAAGGTCAGAATGGTTTCTCTTATTTTTGTTTAAAAATGGTTTGTCTTGAACTATGACAAGGCTAAATGTATTAACAGGCAGGGGAACAGGCTGCTCAGAGGCAGGGCCGGCCAAGTGAGGCAGCAAACAAGATCGGTGGCAGCTCAGACAGTGGGTTAGATGCCCGAGCACTAGGCTCTAAAGGCCACGCGGCAGGTCTGGGGTCAGGAGTCAGAGGGAAGGTGGATGTGGAACTGCATTCCTGGATTCTGAGAGGACCCCTGAGGGCACATGGGACCTGGCTGTGTAGGGCTCCTAGGCCCCTGTCCATGCGGGAGAGGCTGTGTGGGGCATGCTGCCAGCTGTGGGGTCTACACCCAGGCCAGGCCACTCCAGTACAGGGCGAGCCAGGCATACAGGCAGAGTGAACTGCCAGTCCTGTGCTGGGGCACAGCAGTACCCTGCAGCTCTTGGGGGAGCAGGTAGCACCCACCAGCCTGCTGGACAGAAGAGAGCTTTTTTTTAACAGCTGTACTGAGCTATAACTCACATATCATGCAATTCACCCACTGGTGTGTACAACCCAGTTCTTTCTAGCAGTTTCAGAGCCGTGTAGCCACCTAATTTAGAATGTTTTCATCACCCCACAAAGAGACCCCTACCCCCCGGCAGTCACTCCTCAATCCCTCCCGAACTCCCAGACCCTAATGACCACTCACCTGCTTTCTCTCTACATGAACTCGTCTGTCCTTAAGTGGAATCACGCAGGTGCCGTCTTTGGCATATGTTTTGGGGATTCATCCACGTCGTAGCGTTGTCTGAACTTCCTTTTTCAGGCTGGAAAAAGATTCCATTGACGGAGGGGCACATTCCATTTGTCCATCTATCCCGTGGTGACTGTTTCCTTTTGGACTGTGAACATTGTTGCCGTGGGTGTCCATGTAGGACTTGAGTGTGGGCAGGCATTTTGTTTCTCCTGGGCACTAGGAGTGGAACAGCTGGGTCATGTGTTCAGTTTTTTGAGGAGTCACCAGACTTGTCCCCCATGCTGCACATTTTACACCCCAGCAGCCTGCACAAGTGTCCCTTCGCCACATCCTCACTGGCCCTTGGTCCTGTCTAACTATGGCTGTGGCCGCAGCTGGGAGCTGGCATCTCAGCGTGGGCCTGATTTGTGTTGTGCATCTTTCCATGTGCACCATGGCCATCGAAATGTCTTCCTTAGAGAAAGCCCATTCACATCCTTTACCTACTTTTTAACTGAGTTGTTTGTCCCTTTATACCCTGAGTGATAGAGTTGTGGGTGTGTTCAGACCATGGTCTTCATTGGCTTAGACAGAGGGGACTGGCTGGGTAGGCTAATCTGTGAATGGGAATCTACCCGCCCGGTCCCATCTTCCAAGATTCCAGAGCGTGGGGAGACCCCCACCCACTGGAACTGGCCTTGCCACACACAGGACACCCAAGAAATGACATTACCTGCTGGAAGATACCTGGCCTCGAGCAGTTGGCAAGTCTTGCTGGGGGTCAGGGACAGGCCCGTCCCTCTGACTAGATGAGGGAAACTGAGACAGCAGAACCTAGGCCCCCTCCAGGACAGCCCTCCTGGGCCCCTAGGTCTCCTGCTCCTTACTGTTCTGTTGCTCGAGAGGCCAGTGGGGAAGGGAGTGGAGAGCTCATCCAGAAACTCCCTACCGAACTAACACCGCCCTCCCATGTCTCTCGCTGCAGGCCGCGGGACCCTCCAGTGCCAAGATGCAGCTGCTGGAGACAGAGTTCTCGCGCACCGTGCAGGAGCTCATCGAGCTGCATCTCTTGCACCAGGACAGCATCCCTGCCTTCCTCAGTGCCCTCACCCTTGACCTCTTCAGCCGCCAGACTGTGACCTAGCCTGCAGCCACTGTCCCTGACCATCGCCAGCCCTCAGCTTCTGCAGGTGGGAGCAGGCATGGGCAGGAGGTTGTTGGGGTTTTCCCCACACGTCCCAGCCCCACCTGCACCTCCTACCCTGCCCATTTGCAGGACACCCCAGCCTCCTCTGCCCACATGCCACCACCTGCCCAGAATGGGCAGTGTCTTTATGTGATTGGGACCCATGAGCTCCACCCCATCAACCTGCCTGGGCAGCAGCACCCCATGCACAGAACCTCTGGACATACCTCTGGTCAGCAGGGGTTAAGCTGCTCTGGGACATCCTGGCATGATGCTCCCTCATCCCCCAGACCCTGCGTTCACTCCTGCCCTGCAGCAAAGGGCCTCCAGCCTCTTCACCCTTCATCCTGGAAAACTGGCCAGGTGGCCCTGTGGGCAGTACTCTGCGGGCCCTATTCCTGCTCCCTCCCCGAGGTATCTCTACCCACATGCCAGTCAAACCCAGTTGTGCCCAGAAGCCTGGCCAGACAGCCCAGGGCTGGCAGCCAAGGTCTGTGGCTCCTTATGAAATAAAGGTTCCTCGCCACCCACACCGCCCAACTCGCTGTGTGTGTCTGAGCCCCACGCTGACAGGCTCCCTCTGCTTATGCTCAGTCTAGCCCAGGGCAGCTCCTGGACACCGAGAATATGGGCTAGGCCGCCTAGGAGCAGCACCAGCAGCTGGTCAAGATGCTCCCTGCACACCCACCTAGAGGGCCCGGGGCAGCTCTGCGCAGAGGGAAGGAGACACCCTAACAGCCTCAGGTGCTGGCTGGGCGGGCGGCTCCAAGTCCTCTGCTTGGGTGACAGCAAGTCACTGACTGGCCCCTCATCGTGGTGGGGGTCTTCTGAAACCCCAACCATTGCTTCCACAATCACATCTTCTCCTTTGTTCTGTCACCTCAGGACCACTGTTGTCTTCAGAGTATGGAGTGTGGGCTTCAGGGTCCTAGGAGCTCGTCCCCTCCACCCCCAGCATCTTGTGCTGAGGGTGAGGCTCATGGGTCAGCTCGGACATGAGGGTCATGAAGGGCTGCCGGCCAGGGGCTGAGGAATTTCAAGGGTCCTGGGCTGGTGGTCCTGCCGTTGCTACCTGGGGATGGAGATAAAGCGCTGCCTCATTCACATGCAGCTCGCACTCTGCCGTCGCCAGTCATGGGGAAAATGTGGCGTGACGTCAGCTGCCTGCGTGCGGGTACACGGCCGGCAGCTCCCCGCGAGCTTGGTCATCAGCGCAGTGTGCACAGCAAGCCGCTATCTGAGCCCAACAGAGGCCGTGAGAGCAGCCACAGGGCAGAGTCTTGCCAGGCAGCTCTGTGGCACAACTGCCCAAGGTCACCGCCAGAGGAGGAAGGCGGCATGGGGACAGGACTGCGTCCACCTGCTCCCCAGAGCCAGAGCCCTGGGGAGTGTGGCCTGAGCGAGCCCTGAGTGTCACCTCCAGGTACTGCCCTGGGAGGCTGGGGCTGCACCCCCACCCCATCCTCATCTACCCTCCCAGAAAAGCTGAAGCCTTGAGACTCATGTGTCTGGGTCAGGGCCACTGGGCCCCAGTCTGGGGCCATGAGCCCTTGAGAACTGGGGCTACAGCCCAGCCTTGGGACTTCCTTCACCCTTCACCCCTCAGATGAGCCCCAGTTCTCTTGTCCCATGTGCTTGGGGGCCCCAATGCCAGTGTGGAGAATGGATGCCCCTTTATCATGCTTCATCTTCGCTGTCTGTGGGATGCAGTAGCACTCACCCCAAAGCTGTGCCTGTGCGGAAGCTCCCGTCACATTCCAGAAGATGGGGCCACCAGCGCAGAGCAAAATCCCTATGAACTTGTTCTGAGCCTCCTGAAACCCCCGGGCAGAGCGGGAGGGTGCTCGGGACTTTGGATCTGTTTGTCCCGTGTGTGCTGGGGTCTGTGGTCTCCACTCAGGAGTTCCAAAGCTGCAGCAATAGTTATCTCACCTTTGTGGGAGGAAATGTCCCCACAGCCGTGCTTGGGGCTCCAATGTGGCCCCAAGCCACCTCACATGCCCCATGGAACAGCTGCATGCCCAGCTGCAGGTGAGTGTCCAGGGACCCTAGGCCTGGGCTCAGCTGCCTCTTGTGTGTGGGTAGGCTGAGACAGACCCTGCCAAGAGTAAGACTAGCTGAGGTCATAACTCAACACAAAGTCTTTAGCCCATGAAATGCACTGAGCAGCCCGTGTGTGTGTGTGTGTGTGTGTGTGTGTGTGTGTGTGTGTGTGTGTATGAGTGTGTGGGGGTGTGTACATGTGCAGGTAACCATGTGTGCAGGTGTGCGGGTGTGTATACCTTGAGAGAGGTGGGAGCAGGGCATGTTCTGCTGAGATGGCTGAGGTCAGGGTTCTACCTGGGCCTCAGTGGCAGATGCGGCCTTGAGAAACATCAAAGGGTCACACAAACCAGAAGGCCGGCTGTCCTGTAACTTGGACCTGGACAGAAGCCCTTGACATCTGCCCAGTGTGCACCAGAGGGGACCAGTCACCGCTGGCCTACATCCCCAGGCAGGAGATACCAAAAATGGTATCTGGATTGCAAGGCCAGAACTGGACTCCAGCCAACCCAGGCAGAAAAGGAATGTGCCAGAAGGGCTTGGGTAGGGCTGAGCAGCCAGATTCAGAAAACTGTGGTCCCCATTGTGCCACAGCACTGACTCCCACCGGTGGACACGTGGTCTCATTGCAGGTTCTCTCCCCCTTCACCCAACACATGCCCTGGGGTCTCTCTGCCACAGGCTTCCACCAGGACACCCCCTCATGATCCCTTAACTGCCCAGGACCCCGTGTCACTTTTAAGAGTCACAGTGCCTGGCAAGATTTCTGATTGGTCGAGCCTACACCCCGCTTCTGTGAGATAGGTTGGGATAGCTAACGGCCAACAGACAAGGGCCTCTATCCCAAAGGAACATTGAACTTGAGCCTCATCCCAGCACCAGTCTCCCACCTCCCTCCCACTGCAGTGAGAGGCGCCTTCTCACTGGAAAGCCACCTCAGGCCTAACCACCTACCCAGCACTGACACACAGCCCGAGGGTCACTGGTTCCTATGTTCTGAAGATGGAATTTTCCTTTCCTGAACAGAGGCAGCAGGCACCACCCGCTCTCTGAGGTGTCTGGGTTAGGAGAGGGGAGCAAAGGCCCAGCTAACATCCTCCCCACCAGGCCTGACTTAGTCTCTTCCCAGTGCTGCCAGGGGGGATTAAAATGACTTCTCACAGGGATCAGGGGTCCCACCCAGCTCCTGGTGGGCAAGCCACAGAAAGTTCTGGTTCTGGCAGATCCCACTTCCTCCAGCTCATTAGTGAACGCCTGATGGTAAATGGTTCTTAAGCCGCTAATGACTAATTTTAAGGGATTAGTGCCGCAGCGATAAACTATAATTGCCAGAATGTAACAGGATTTGGTGTGTGACAGGGCTCCTTCCAGCTTCCCGGTGGCTCCAGGGGGGACAGTGCCACCTGCTGGGGTCTTCTCAGGACCCCCACCTCCCACCTGGGCACCCCAACCTCCCTCTGTGTCTGCCAGCACGCGGTTTGCCATCGTTGTTATTGCTTCTCTCCCTCTGCGCACTTCTGCCTCATGTTCTGGGAATGAGTAAGTGCCCAGGTTTTCTCTAGCTCCTCATGCCCAGCAGCCGCAGCCCTGGGACTTGTGAGAAATGCAGGTTCTCAGGTCCCTGCCAACCCTGTGAATCAGAATCTGCATGAGACTTGACCTCCAGGCAGTCATAGGCACGTTCAAGCCAGTAAAGCTTTTGCTTAAAAGAACTACCCCAATTTACAGAGCTCCCCGTTCCATAATGACCCTGCAAGTTGAGTCTTGCTGGGGACAAGACTGAAGCTCAGAAAGGACAGGGATGCGCCTCAGGTCACGCGCACCCAAACCCAGCCTTCCTGATGCAGACTCACGGCTCAGCCTCTGAGGCAAACTTGACCCATTTCCCTTGTTGCTAAAGGTCATCAGGATGCCAGGACCTAGGGAGGCTGACGGCCTCTATCCCAGGACATAGGATTCCGGACCACATGTAGTGTGTCTGCATGACAAATTGTGTCTGCGATGTGTAGGAGTGTACACCTGTGTATACATGCAGGACTTTGTGTGTGTGGCTTCATGGCTGTGTGTGTGTTCTGTATGTGCACTGTTTGCATTTGCACACACATGTCTTGTGTGTGTGCACAACTGCCATAAGTGTACGTGCATGCATGCATAATGAGGACAAGCACTTTATCAAACTGGTGTAATAGTTGCTTCAGGCCCAGAGAGTCACAAGGCCCTCTCCAAAGTCACACAGCAAGAGAAAGTCAAGGATGGGAAGCAGGGCCGTACAGACATCATCTCGCCCAGCCTGCTGCCTGCCTCATTGTTTACATTTTCTTTATCTTTAACTGCACACTTTTAATACGGCATCAGTGTGAAAAGAAAAATGCTCTGTCAATAGAAATGTGGAGTAAAAGGAAGTTCTGTTTGGGCCCATCCCAGCCTTTTCCATCTGCAGATGGGTTCACCCACCTAACGTGGACACACAAAAAGCCATTGTTTGATTTCACTTGGTTGTGTGTATGGTTTTTAAAATAACTGAGTTGTTCTGCAGCTTGGTTTTTCTCATTGAACAATTGTCTTGGAAATTTTCCATAAAAGCATCTACTGATGTATTTCACTGGGTTTTTGTTGTTATTTCCAAACTACTCAAGAAGTTTTATTGAAAACAATAACCTGCAGAAACACCAGATTCTCATTTTCGAGTAAAAATTGACAGCATCTTTCAGAACGTCCATAGTTCTCAGCAATTTTGGTCATTACTTTAAAAAACAAACAAAATCCAAACCAAGACCAAACAAACATGGATCGAAGTTCCAGATTCCAATGAACGGAGACTTGTGGATGAGCCTCTGCTTATGGTTCTGGCCCCGTCCTCACGTGCCCTGGCAAGAATGAGGGTAGGTTTGGGCTTGGTTTTCAGTGGGTCAGTAGTTCTGACAACCACTTCTCCGTCACCTTGAACTCGTGCCACCCTGTGCCAGCTCACTGTTCCCCCAGATCTTACCTGGCTCATCCTCCATGATGGATCAAAATTGTGTACCCCCCAAATTCACACTCCCAGCACCTGGGAATGTGACTAGTTGGAGGAGGGGCCTGTAAATGATGATGAGATGATTAAAGTAAAAGGAAGCCTGAGCCCGTGTGACTGGAGCCCTCACAAGAAGAGAGCATCCCGAGACTGTGTGAGCACCCAGGGAGGTGACATCTGCACGCCAAGGAGAGAGGCCTCAGGAGGAACCAGTCCTGCTGACACCTTCATCGTTGACTTCCCGCCTCCAGAACCGTGAGAAATCCCCGTGTTTAACAAGCCCCTATCTGTGGTACCTGGAGATGGCCGCCTGAACGTCCTCACATGTGTGTTGCCCCCTCACCACCTGGCTTTTTCTCCCTTATGGCACCTTCCACCACCTGGCATTTCTTTATGCATATTTTATTTATAATGCACATATAGTTGGTGTGTATATATAATGCACATATTTTTTTTCATCAGTTTGGTGTCAAGAACCCGTAGAACAGCACCGTCCAATAGAAATATGTGAATAACATACGTAATTGATACTTTTGGTAGCCAAATTTAAAAAGTAAAGAAAAAGTGAAATTAATTTTAGTAAATTTATTTAATCCAATAGATCCCAAATTTATTTTGACTTGTTATCAATATAAAAACTAATGAGGGCCTCCCGGTGGCGCAGCTGTTGAGCGCTGGGCTGTGAAGCTGCCCGCAGCCTCTGCAGCACCAGTTCTATTCCCGGCCACTAGGCGAGGGTCCCACATGGCGCACAGACCTCTCCTGCCGCCCGCTGCTCCCCTCAGCAGTGTATTTCGTCAGTCTGCCTGTTCTGTTCCCCGCTCTGGCTCTGGTGAATTCTCTCACCCTCCTGTGCTTCTGACTGTACCCAGTGCTTGTATAAATAAATAAATAAATCTTTAAAAAAAAGAAATTGTTTAAAAAAAAAAAACTGATGAGACATTCACCTTACCATCTTTCCTGCCTCTGAAGTCTGGGGGTCCAACGTCTTGTTTTACACTTTGGACCAACCTCAGTTCAGGTACTCAGTAGCCGCGTGTGGTCACAGGCCACCATCTGGGACAGGACAGCCTTGTCCACCATGGGGTGCTGCACCCGGCAGTGCCTGGCTCACTCTGGAGCATAAGTATGGGGGCGTCCATGGTACAATTTTAAAGACACTATTATCACCTCCCTGTTTGACTAGGAAAATTGGACCTGAGAGAGAAGTGGCTGTCCCAGAAGTCACCTGGACGCCGAAGCCAGGAGACTCAAGGGACCTTCCCCTGTCTGGCAGCCAGGACACCGAGTAGCCTGGGTCACTGCTGGCTCTGCCCCGCCAGCATTTGCTCTTAGGCAAGTCTCCCCCCGAGCCTCAGTCTCCACATCCAGAAAGAGGGCTGACAGCACAACCTGCTGGGAGGTCTCAGGAGCACTGAAACCCCAGAAGACACCCCGGGAGGGCACCTCATTCAGCCCAGGCCTCTGCCACCTCCACCTGCTGGCTGCATGGTGCCTCCTTAGTGTAACACTATAATTAGCTCAATTACCAACAGCCTTCATGCCTTTTCTCTTTCCTTTTTTTTTTTCAAACTTAATATGGAAATTAAATTTTGCACCAGGTTTACAGGCTGTTAACGGAATTCACTAATCAAACCCCAACACCAAGTCCTTGAAAATGAGAATTAAAAAAGGTCTGCATTTGCATATTCATGTTTTTAATAGGGTTCAGAAGGTATATTTGCAACTGATGAAAAGGATTAATTAAATCTAATCTGCATTGGTGGGGCTTCTTAACCCCTTCTGAGCTGACCCGAGGCTGGGATGACGCCCAGAGCAGAGAAGAGCTCAACACAGCCCAGGGCCGTGGGTGGGGGCCCCAACTCCTGTTCCCCTTCCTGCTGGCCTCGCCTGCAGGCCGGAGCCCCCCTGAGCCCAGGATTCCCGCTGCCACACAGCGTTCAGGTCTGCTCCCCCAGCAACCCTGATGAGAGATGAGGGAGGCATTGTTTTACTTTCAAATCAAACACAGCTGGACTTGTTTTCTTATAACATTCTTCCCGGGGTCATCATACAATATTTGGAAAATGTAGCGAAATCTTAAGAAGAAAATGAGAATCACTTGTTACCCCTTCACCCAGGTAAGCACTATGTACTTGGCTATCGGGGCTTCCGGAATTTTGCCCACAAATGTGTGTGTTGTACACGTATGTGCTTGTATGCACCAGTGTGTATGTGATATTGTAATGCTGTCTGTATTGTGCACGTAAGTATGTGTTGTGTATGTCGTGTCTGTATGCTGTGTGTGCTATGTGTAGTGTATTGTGTGTTGTCGTGTGCAGTGTGCTGTTTATAGTGTGTGGCATGTAACATGTGCGCCGTGTATGTGCTGTCCCTGTTGTGTATTGTATGTTCCATGTATTTAAATTGTGTGTTGTTTGTATTGTGTGTCTATTGTCACACGTGTTGTGTGTTCGCATGCACCTCCTCACCCAGACCTGCAGCTCTCGCATGGCTTTAAGCATCCACTGTCCTGTCACTTACTTCACTCACTAACGGTCTCCACCCAGCACCTTCTTGCGTCACGGCGTCGAGTCAGCAGTGTGACGCCAACTACTGAGAATTCTCACTGGGTGCTTTATTACGCGGGTCTCTTTTGTCAGAGAATCAGTTTCCCATTCACTATGGTTATTTTTTACCAAGAACGCTGCCGTGAGGGTCCAAGCCACACCGGAGTGTGCCCCTGGGGATATCTTGGGATCAAAGAGCGTAGATGTTCAGAGGCCCTTGCGCCCAAAGCCCAGTGACCCCTCGCCAGTTGGCTCTCCTTAGGGCATCGCCCCACTCTGCAAGTGAGGTGCCAACAATGACCTCTACATGGGGTCAGCGAGACGGCAGGGTTATGACAGGAAGGAGGCAGCCTGCAGTTAGGGAATAAAGGGCCTGCAGGTGTTTTGAATGTATCTACGCTAGGACGAAACAGCGCGGCTTTAGCAGCCCTGGAATCAGGCCAGGAGGTCTCGGGCATGACGCAATGCACTGTCACCTCCCCACCTGGGCCTCCACTAATGGTTGTCTGGAGTCCAGAGAATTCCTGGCTCCTCGCCATTCTGAGATTCTGATGTCTCCAGAGGCCAAGAGGCTTTGGGGGAGTTGGGGATGTGCCAACAGGACCTAGCAGCCAGCTGCAGGGGGCTTCTGGTGCCCAGATGTGACTCTTGCCAAACACACTCAGGTACCAGACACAGGGACTGACTTAACCACTTCGTCTGTGAAAAGCCACAGCTCCATGAAGACCCTGAGGAAGAGGTGAGCACTGTCATCAAAGCCTCGGTGGCCAGCAGAGGCTCCGGTCACTGCGCCAGCAGATTTCAGGGCTGGGGGACACACCATGGATCCTCTGATGGGTCTGCGGTGGGTGGCCCTGCCTGTGTAGGTCGGAAAGGGGCTCTGAGCCAGGTGTGGGTGGCACCAGCAAGGATCATGAGCGCAAGAACAGCTAGCAGCACACATAGCTTAGAAGCAGTGAGAAAGGTGTTCTAGGTGTGTGCAGGCTTCACCCACCTAGCCACGGGAAGTCAGTGCCCGCATAACCATGTGAAGATGGACCCACACTGTGGGTGCAGGAGATGGATGAGCCAGACTCCCACACAGTAGCACCTACCAGGGCCACACTTGTCAGCTCCCCTGAAACAATTTTCCTGTGCACAATAATTACGAGCAGCTGAGAGTCAGCACCAGCGCTATCCCTGTGGGGCTCACGGCCCAAGTCCACACAGAGCTCCTGGCGGTCAGTGGTTCCTAGATGTGAAGGAAGCTCCTTCCCAGCAAGGAGGGCTTGACCCCAGGGCACATCAGTCACACGGGAGAGAGCTGGAAGAGACCCCACAGGCTAGGCCACCAAAGGCCCATCCTCACTCCTCTGTTTCTGGAAGATGGCAACAACCCTGGAAAGTACTAGAAAGGAAATGAACCATGTAGGGGCTGTGGCTTCACATCCGTGACTGGCTTCCATGTAAGCAAACTGCAGGGTTTCTGTTTGGTTGAGGTACAATGTAGAGACAGCACAGCTCACTCTTGTTAGCACAGTTCAGCATATTGTGACAAAAGCATATAAGCATGTACTACCCCATCTACCCCAGCCCCCCAAGCCCTGTTTTTAAGTCCTTGTGGTAATTTATGAGGTGTCCCAGTCAAATCAGGCTGCTATAACAAGTACCCCAGACAACACAATTCTGGAGGCTGAAGTCCAAGGTTAAGGTGGCTCAAGTTTGTACTCTGGCGAGGACTGCCTGGCTCAGTGTCCTCACAGGGCGAGAGAGCTAGGGTCCCTCCTCTCAAGGCTAAGGCCAATCAGGCCAGGGTCTCCCCTTAATACCTCATTTAAGCTTTATCACCTCCTACCCTCAAGGGCCACCTCCAAGTATAGTCACGTGGGGTTTAGGGCTTCAACATATTAATTTGGGGGACATAAACATTCAGCCCATACCATGTGTGTTTCACCCAATTGTAAAGGTATTTGAAGCAATTTAAGCAAATCTGATATACTTAGCTTGTGGTTTTAATTAAACATTTAGAAGCACTTGATTAAAGCTGATAATCAATAGGAAATTTTATTGGCTAATTTTTT